CTGCCTGCACCCTCTCCGACAGAGCCCTGACATGGTGGAATAGCCATGCTAAGTCACTGACCCTACCAGTGTCAAACGCGATGGGCTGGGAGAATCTAAAAGAGATGATGCTTGAAGAGTACTGCCCGAGGGGTGAGATGCAGAAGCTAGAGCAAGAGTTGTGGAACCTTACCATGGCTGGCTCGGATATAGTAGCCTACACCGATAGATTCAGCGATTTAGCCGCACTATGCCCTGGGATGGTTACCCCGGAGAGCAGAAAGGTAGAGAGATACATTTGGGGACTACCTCCTCCAATCCATGGAAACGTGATAGCAGCGAAACCCCTTACGTTCGACAATGCCAAGCGTCTAGCTCGAACACTGGTGGACCATGGAGTCCGCCAAGGCATAATGACCCCCGTTCCTGAGTCAACCAAAGGGTGTGACAACAAACAAGAATCTGGGAGCAAGAAGAAAAGACAGTCAACACAAGAGCCCTCAAATGGACAACAGATGATTGTAGTTTATGCTGCCACGACAACAGCCACTCCAGCACCCGGCAGTCGATATGTTGGAACCCTCCCGAAATGTAATAAATGAAACCTCCATCATACAGGAGTGTGCCGGAAGATGCATTGCAAGAACTGCCTTAGGAAGGGACATACTATCCGTTTCTGCAGGCACCAGCACGACCAATCTCCCAGGTCCCATACGACGAAGTAAGCCAAGCCTGCTACGAGTGTGGCGAAATGGGACACTACAAGGGAGATTGTCCAATAACAAGGAACTGCGGCAAATATGGAAGAGTGTTGATGATTACCATAGGAGAGACTATCCCAGAAACCACCTGAGAACAGCGGTACGCTTTCCGAATGAATATATGTTTCAAACATTAAATTTTTACAAAAACCGTTACCAACTAAATTTTAACCGTAAACTGCTTCCTCGTCCAAACAAAGCACATCATTCATATAAAATTACGTATCCTTACAGGTGAGCTATAATGGCTTAGTGTAAACATAAGGGTCATATATAACTAAGAACCTATAGACATAGAGTGCATGATTCCGCCTTATTTCCTGTTCCTTATCTGGTTGTGGATTTAGGGCAGAGTCACTCAGTCTACTGTCTTCTCAGCCTTAATTATATATGACTTGTAGCCAACAAGTGATTATAGATGGACCTGGTGGGGATCAGAATATTAAGTATCAATACCATCCATCAGAACATTTCTACTGTTAGTACTTGCTTAATGCAGTACAAGATGCTCGCAACAGTAATAACAACAATAAAACAGAAAGCACTAGGAACGTACACATAGGATCTACTATCGTTCTAACAAAACAGTCCTTCCGAATCAACTTAACACATGTGTCAATAAGAAGTTCCGACATCGTCATCCGACATTGGATTGGCTTGGTCCTCACCATGCCGAAACTCTCGTCGCTCATAACGACAAACCAGATACGAACCTCGAAATCGTCTCTCGTTTCAAACCACCGAATTACTCATGTGAGGGGCATTATATCCTTCCGCAACCTTCCCGAAGTATTCCAAGCAGATCTTTTGGGAATACCAAATATGCAGCAAGTCAAGTTCAAGCACAGAGACTAGGGACAAATACGGTTAACTTATCATTGTTTAGTGTATACGCGAGGGTGGTATATAATTAAGATTTTAAGGACTTAGGATGTGTGTTTCCGCCCTATCTCCTGTTCCTTGTCTGGTTGTGGACATGGGGCAGAGTCACCCATCCGACCATTTTTTCCATCTTAATTATATACGACTTGTATACATGAGACGATGATAGATGAACCAGGGATGGACAAAAACTGCCTAGGATTACAAGCGTACATGCTACCATTCGAATGAACATACACAAGTAAGTCAAACCCACACACTTTTTTACCGATTAGAACAACGGACCCAACAGTGGAGATCCGCTGGAATGCCAAGCGAGGATCAGAATTCACTTGGGAACAAGAAGATCATATGGAACAGAAGTACCCACCTCTCTCCCCAGTTCATGAGTAACCGCTTAGGAATTCGAATTTCGGGACGAAATTCCCTCTAACGGGGGGATGATGTCACAACTCGAAATTTTTAGATCAAGTAAAGCTTAAACTCTAACTAAGTACAAGTGAAACTGCATTGTAATTCTTGATGCATTTTATCATCTATAGCCTTAGGGCTTGTTTAAAGAATTAACAAAGAGGTATGGATTGAAAACATACGTTAAATTAGGGTGTTATAAATGAAAATAGGTTGAAAGACTAAGGGTTTAAACCATAAATAACCCTCATAATTGAGTTTTCACCAAGAAATCAATTCCAAATGGGGGTTTACGGTTGAAATTCAATGCAATAATTGGGGTTTACAGTTTTATGATTAGTTCAATTATGGTTTACGGTTTGGAATTGATTCCGAATTGGAGTTTTCGTTTGTAAAATCCGAAAACACAGAGTCAAGGTCCATTAAGGACCAAAAATCCAATGCCTAAAGCCCATTATGAACCGTGAACTACTTCTATGTATTTAGTTCCAACCGTGAACCCAATTCATTTCCCACTTTTCACACCGTAAACACTTCCATTTTGCTCTCAACTATCATCCGTGAACCGTCATAAATTCATAAGATTTTGCACAGATCTTCAAGCATCCACCAAGAACACCAAGAACATTTATTCAAATCTTCAAACCTTCAAGCCACCACCAAGAACACACCGTAAACCCATCAAGTCAACCGAAAATTCAATTTTTCCAACCGTGAACCCATTTCAACATTTCCAATTAATTCCAAATAATTATTGTAAGTCTTTCTTACATAATTAAAGTGGTGCCTAATACTTTAATTATCAATTACAACATTATCTAAATTATTATTTAAATTAATATCTTATTAATTTAAATACGACGTCGGGTATAATTATTTTTAGGATACGACTGTTGTCACGTAATCAAATCTGAGGATTACCGTTAGCAATTCGCGACTCAACCGAGCACACACATTCGAGGTGAGTTCATACCCCCATATTTTCCAAGATTTTTCAATGTTTTTAGGGGGGCGGGGGAATACAAGTAAAACACAATTAACCTTGTGTTTAAAAATATAATTTTATTTATTATATTTCCGAACATTTAACATACATTTGAATATGAAGTTACTAAATACGTCGAACATCATTTCGGTTAAACTACAAAATATCATAAGTTGTAATATTTTCACATCAACGGAAACGAATTTATAAACTATATTAAGTATAGTTTATGGAACAAAGGAACGATTTTACAGACTCAGGTTATATCACGGAAAAACAAACTTATAAACTATAATAAGTATAGTTTATGGAACGAACGAACTACTTTTACAAAGTTACACGTTATTTACAAAAAGGTTTTCATTGTATTATTTGTGAATTCGTTGAGGGAAAAAATTTGTGAGACGTGTCTTTGAGTACTTATCTAAGTACCAAGGGAAGTCTAGCCTTATGAACCAGAGTCTCCTGGAGGGAGAGCGTGCGTTTGTGTATAGATCTATACGGGACTGACAATCTCGCGCCCTGACTATAAGCTACAATCGTTCTGGGTGACAAACGTCATTAACATTAACGACATCCGAAGAACGGCGTAGGGTTTAACGTCCATCAGTATGGTTATAAGAACTCACATGGATATAACATGGCCTCGTTCACGTAATAATATACTTAACAAACGGTCATTAGGGTTAGTAACTATGTGATTACTTAGTATATACATCAGTGTGATATGAAATTAACATCCGACGTGCAGTGGGATGTGTGCTTAGGGAAAAATCACCCAATCGACTGTCTGTTCGATCTAGATTTCTATAACTCGTATGTACACTACTAGAAAAAAGGCCTTTAATGACACGCAATTTATGACGCACACGAATTTACGATACACAAAAGTGTGTGACGAAAAAATAATGTCATCTCCCCAAAATTTTGAAGGATGTAGGACGCGCATTTCGTGCGCCCTAAAATTTGTGTCAGAAAAAATCAAAAATAAAAACACGGAAGACACCCATCATAAACGCGTGTCCTGTGCACCATGTCGCTTTATAATTTTTAAACGCGCGTTCCTATTACAAAATGGGGACCAAAACTAGGGCTTTTCCTTTCAAGAACGTCACGAGGACTATCATTCTCTCATATCTCACATCCTTCGTCTCTGCCCTAACCCACCGTCACCGCCTACAACACTCATCGTCTCTTTTGGCCTCACACAGCGGCGGCGCACCGGCCCTATCGACGAACGCTTCATCCAGCACCATTCTTCCAACCATACGAGCCAGTATAAAGCAGATATAAGGTTTTCAAATTCGAGATTTATGGTATCGGGAACATCGATAGGGTTGTTGAAACCTTCATGTCTACACGTGTATCGGGAACATCTCTTCCACCTCTGCATACCATGAGTGACTGTCCTGCCTGCAATCTGCTATCAGGTTTCTTCTTCTTCACCTGAATTTTCTCCATTTTTTCTGCTTCATTGCTATTTCGGTACAGAAATCGGAGGAGGACGTACGAGTGGCTCTAGACCAACTTCCTAGAGATGCAACTAATATCCTTTACATACTTAAGGCCGAACAAGCGCCTCTGGATCTCATTTCACCATTTATAGTTCCATTACAGAGTTCATAACTATGAACATGTTCTGAACAAAAATCAGTGTGTTATATTTCATGGCTGCTAGCCCTAACCCTAACCCTAGCCCCTAAATTCTAATTTCATTGATATGTATATATAATATGTTCCTTATTAGAACTGTTTGATTCTAGGGGTTATTCATTGGGAGGTCTAGTGGAATCAAGAGCTCCCAGTGTAGCTTCTTAGTGAGAAACAAGTTGAACTTTCCTAGACAAAGAGTTCAAGCCTCTCAAAAAGCTCGTAAATCAGGGAAACGTGAAGGAGCACTTGGTGCCGCATTTCGTGCTGAAAAGATCGTGATAACAAACAGAGGGGAAATTGCAGTGAGAGTGATCCGAACTACTCATGAGATGGGGATTCCCTGTGTTTCAGTCTACTCCACCATTGATAAGGATGCACTTCATGTGAAACTAGCGGATGAGTCATTTTGCATAGGGTAAGCTCCCAGTAGTCAATCGTAAGTCAACCTAACCTATCTTTATTCCTTCTCACATTGAAAAATTGGAAACTTTAATTCTCAGTTGTTGTTGATCAGGCACTTGTTGATACCCAATGTCCTTTCTGTTGCTATCAGTCATGGATGTACAATGTTGCATCCTGGTTATGGTTTCCTTGCTGAGAATGCTGTTTTTGTTGAGATGTGTAGAGAACATGGAATCAACTTCATTGACCCAAATTTAAGTAACTTATTACCACTATTACTATTATCTAGATTATTTAATCATGACAAGTGTGTTTTTTCAGCTTATGTTGGTTGCAATAGTTATGATTTTGTTTAATGGATTTCATGGAGGTTCCTATCTTGATAACTAAGCTTCCTGTTATCTACAAGCATAGAGATTTACATTTATACCCCTGTTGGGCTTACATACTTCCTTCATGGATTTTAAGTATTCCATCATCAATTATAGAATCTGGTGTTTGGGTTGTGGTTACATACTATCTTGTTGGATTTGATCACCAATTTTCAAGGTATATTTTCAAGATTCCCTTTTCTTACTTTTGTTATGTTAACATCTTATTAAAATAACATATTTTCTATATGTAGATGTTTGAAGCAGTTTGGGTTGTATTTCTCTTTGCATCAAATGTCAATAGGGCTTTTCCGTATGATGGGAGCTTTAGGAAGAAATATGATAGTTGCTAATACTTTTAGATCTTTTTCCATGTTGGTTGTTATGGCACTTGGAGGATTCATACTTTTTAGAGGTATAAAAAATAAATATAATTATTTACATCTCAATATTATTACTAAATCAATTTTTAACAAATATCAATGTAGATGACATTGGGTTTCCTGTTTGATGTGGCGTGTATGGAAAGAATGAAAGAAGGTGGGACCGGGTTTTTGTACTGAAGTTTGAGTTGACTTTTTCTTTTTCTCTTTCTCTTTGCAAGTTTCATATTATTGTTATTTCTATCAACATGCAATTGACAAGTTAATAAATCAGATGTATTTTCTTGTTAATTTACAGGATTTCTTGAAATACAACGAATCATCTCTAATGAAGCTGCCTTCTGAGATATTTGATCCATTCCACTTGGTGAAGCTGCTGGTGTTAGGAGGATGACGGATGCAGATTCAGTAGCAATGCCTGAAGGTTCATCTTTATATGATTTGGTTCAAACGGTAATCACTACCACACATGCTTCTGTTGGAGTGGTGCTTCTCTTGAGGGAAGAGTGGTCTCTTGTAAAAGATATACCTGTTCTTTTTGCAATTGACCAAGTGAGTTGACTTTTTCTCTTTCTCTTTCTCTATGAAAGTTTCATATTATTGTTATTTCTGACCATATTATATATATATATATATATAATATATATATATATATATATATATATATATATAATGGTCAGTATAACAGTTGGTTCACATTCAAATTCAGGCGTGGACTCCCTCTCGGTGAAGTTTTCCCATCCTCACATGAACTGGTAGCTTCTCTTAGTCTAGAACGCCTTTTGAGTGGCTTACATGTAATAACAATAATAACAATATTAGTAACAATCACAGTCAGAATCACAGTGATAGTGAATTGTTTGTTTTTGTTGTTTGATAGGACATTGAGTACCTGAAGCTGTATAGTTCAAGATATGGGCGTGAAGAAGGGGTTGAGATTCTAGAAAAAATAGGGATGTATTTAGGGCCACATCGATACACTCTTGACCACGCCCCAATAGACATGATGCGGGGTGAGATTTTCATAACAAAATCACAGAATAGTTGCAGGTCATGTTGTTTTTGCTTAGGGCCATATAACACATGTTCCAAATGAACTTTCCAATGCTTTTCTTAATTTTGGATGACCTTTGGGTATACTATTAGAGAACGCTAATATGTTCATTTTATTTAAAACTTTCTCTAATACCATATGTAGCTCAAAATGCGGTTTCTATGAATGAATTTTTAGGAGATACTTGGGATAAGAAACCGGTTGAGATTGAAAAGTCAATAAAAACAAAAAAAAATTTCATTTTGACTTTTTCTGATTGTCTGTTGACCTTTTGACTATTTTTGATTTGTAGATAAACAGAAGGTGTCATTTACGTGGTATGTTAAACTTTTTTTCTCATTTAATCCAAACCCCACTCGAAAAAAATGTGTCATTTATGTTAAAAAGATGAAGTAACAAACTAACAAGTTCTTTCTTGAATCTTGATTCAGGAACGCGAGAGAGAACACTTCTCACAATTTATAATAGAGGGTTTCACTTCTTATTGCAAGAGAAAGAGAAGAGATAATGTATGTAAATATCAAGAATCTATTTTTCTACAACTTTTCTTCTTTTCATTTGTGATATTTCATTTTCTTCATTTTCACTTTTATTTTACAGATCAACTATGTGTCTGCTCATGACAATGAGACCTTGTTCGATATTATTAGTTTGAAGGCAGCAATGAAAATTTCAAATGATGAGAGGTGGAGGATAAACCATTTAGCAACAAGTGTAATAGCACTTTCCCAGGTTGTGATTTTTTCTTGTACAAACATAGTTGTTTTAATCCATTTGTCCCAAAAACAATATTATTTTAAAATTTTAAATTATAATAAATATTACAAATTATAGGGTGTTCCATTTTCCATTGTGTAGATGACATTATGTGTTCCAAGTCTTTGGATCGTGATTCTTACAATTCTGGTGACTGGTTCAACAGGTACAAATTGTAGGGTGTTCCTATTTTAGAGCCCCTTACCCTTCATATTAATATAGCAACCTTATTTTATACTTTACTTTAAGTGAAAGAAATATAGCAACCTTCTTCTTCTTCCATTGATTTCTTTCTTTATTACACAGTTGAAGTTGTATGTCCCTTACCCTTCAGATTAATCCCATTGCTGAGACTTCTGATAACAAGTTGGTTGCTGCTGATGCTAAGTTAAATTTATATATATATATATATATATATATATATATATAATATATATATATATATATATATAATTTCATAACTACTTGCATGTTTGTTTTTCAGGTATCAATGGCTACAAAAACACTTGGTAGTATTGGAGTTCATATTACTTGGTAAGATGATTTCCCATTTGTGGGTGATATTAAATTTTGTGAAATCATATAAAGAGGTCCTTCCTATATGTTGTTTGATTTTTAATGAGTACCATTATGATTGCACTGCAGATGGGAATGTGGGATGCTCTTTTGAAAGCTAATTTGCAAGCTATTCCCACAAGTATACCTATAATAGCACTCTCTTTTGTTTATCAGGTAATAATTTCATTTCTTACTTGAGTACATATAATGTTGTTTCCATCATAATTAACTAAACCATGTTCTTTTCAGAATGTAGTGCCTGTTCTTTCTACAAACCTGAAAGGAGACCTGTCAAAAATAAGGTGATTATTTATATTTTTAATGCTAGCATGGTATATGAATGCTATGTTGGATCAGTTTAATGCTAGCATGGTATATGAATGCTATGTTGGATCAGTCTAATGCTAGCATGGTATATGAATGGTATGTGATTTGGCTTAATGGAGGTAAGAAAATATAAAATTAAAGAAATAAGCTTTTAAAGGACTAGTTTATTATACAAAGAAGATATTCTTGTCATTGTTGATATCATGTAATTCATATTGTAGTGTATTTATTCCAAATCCCACATTCTTTGGATGGAGAAAAGGGTAATTTTGTCTTTTACAAATAACATTCCATGTTTGATTCTTCTAATAATTATATTAGCATAATAATTTTTTGACTTTTATTTGATCAGGTCACAAGAATTATCGGAGCAGGGGTTCATTAGTCTTAAACAATTATGAAAGGCAAGATGCAACTCTACTTAGTTGGAATTTGATATTTATCATCTTTGTGTATTAAGTTATATAGTTAGGGAAAACCTCTTAATAACAATGTAGTATTAGGTTATATAGTTAGGGAAAACCTCTTAATAACAATGTACAATTAGATCCCCTTAATATCAATGTATTACAATTTTTTGACATGATGTTATAGGATGAAATTGATTTTTTTGGTATATATTTGTTTACATAATTTTGTATTATTCGTAAATGAGTATCGTAAAGACGCGTCGTAAATGCATATCGTAAATGGTTACTAAAGTTTATAACACGCAAATGCTTGTCATCTTCATTTATGACAGGGGCTTCCTTGATACGCATTGCGTGTCATAAACACGCTCGCCGTAAGGTTACGACACGCAAATACGTGTCGTCTTACTTTATGACAGGGCCTTCTTTGATACGCATTGCGTATCATAACTACGCGTCATAAATGTGTGTCATAAATGTGCGTCGTAAATGCGCGTCGTAAATAGATGACGCGCAAAAGCGTGTCGTCTCACGTTATGACAGGGCCTTCCTTGACATGCATTTGCGTGTCGTCTGAGCGTTTTACGACAGGCATTGCACGTCGTAAAAGGCTGTTTTTCTAGTAGTGGTACTAAGTGATCACAGGAGGGTATTGACATCACTTCCAGTTTACAGAACAAACACGTTTTCGACTAGTTTTATTTAATAATAAAGCTACACTTTACCAACTTAAGTATGGGAAAATACTTGTACTTTTCAGTTTTGGAACATTTAAGACAACAACTCACTTCTATAGAAAATGTAGGATTTCCAGGACAAATATCTGTATTTTACAAGCAAACGATTTATCATACAACTAACAAACAATCATTGTTAATTCTATAATTCCCTAGTTTATACATCAAGGCTATGTATGAAGAATATCTGATAGGCAGTGGAATGTGTGGTTTCCGCCTCATTTCTTGTTCCTTGTTTGGTTGTGGGCTTAGGGCAGATCCACACATTTAACTGTCCGGTCGATCTTGGTTTATATATAGCTAGTATAAACTATGTGGTCATAAAAAGAACTGGTATTATCATATTCTTATTAAGAAAATATAGGATTTCTTAAGGAACACTTTCATCATATCTCAAAGGACTATTACAGTTAACTCTGTAAGTACCTAGTGAGTACGTCAGGGTTATATACAATGAGGATCCGACAAACAGTAGGATGTGTGACTTCCGCCTCATTTCATGTTCCTTGTTTGGTTGCGGGCTTGGGGAAGAACCAAACAATCGATTGTCTGTTCGATCTGGGTTGTATATAACTTGCATACACTAAGTACTCGTAGAAGTAACTAGTATGAGGCATTTTACTTATCAATTCATCACATCAGAAAATATAGGATTTTCTGGAGAAACACATCATGTTTTAAAAAGAACAAAGAACCTGTTTTCTAAAACAAAACGCTTATGAACTCATCAACTTTAATGTTGACACTCTTTCAAAAACCACTTGTATTCTCAGGACACTAGTAGACAGGAACATGCCCCGGGTTCCTGGAAGACGGAGCATAGTAGCTTCAAGTCTTTACTTTGCTATTTACTTTTGGACTAAACACTACAAGAAAAACGCGATTTTTCTAGGGAAGTTCGCTATGGAACGTATTTTCGTTGTTAATCTGCCATGGATCGTGCTATGGAATGTCGTTCTATAGCAATGTTGCTACCACATTGTCTACGGATTTTATTTCTGGTAGCGAGAATGGGATTTGCTAGGGAAAATGCTACCGACTCCATATCTGTTAGTATTATGCTACCGATAATTCTGTGGAACAAAAATTCGTAGCAATTTTCCAACGACATTTGTTACGAAATCATTTTCCGTTGTACTGCTGCTATGGAATAAATTATCGTGGTTACTATGCAACGGAGTTTGTGACGAAAACTAACTCCATAGTTGATTTGCTATGTAAGTATCATTCGTAGGTATTTTTCTATGGAATATGATTTCGCTTTCTTGTTTTGCTATGGAACAAAACGCGTAGCTAATTTGTTATGGCATTTGTTGGGATGTTGTATGCTTAATTAATTTTCTTATTTTATGGATGAATTATTATTATGATCAATGGAATTTGTAAGATATGGTTTGAATGAAATGTTTTTGAATTGGTAATATGTGGCATAAACTAATGGCTAAAAATGTAAAAAATGAATTATAAAAGTAGATATTGCTGGCAAGCGAACTCGAACTTAAGCTTATGCTAAAAAAGGGCGCGGTTCAGCCAGTTGTGCTAATCAAGTTGTGTACAATTTCTTGAAAAACACGGTATATAATGACTAATTAACCATATAGTTTTATTAGAACTCGGACCCTATTTTTTCCGGGGCTTGTGCGGTTGCACCTCTTGCACACCCTTAAAACCGGGCATGTTAAAGTATATAATCTATGTAGATTATTTTCCTTAATAACGAATTCATTACAAACTTATTTTTAATTCCATTAACTATACTTCACCACAAAAAATAACATGGGTTTTACGTATAATTCTTCCTACTCAAGCAACATAGCAAGCAAAAATGACTAAAATGCCCTTTTAACAGAATGATGTAAACATAAAACCAAAATAAAATTATAGTAGTATACAAATTCATATACAATACAATATGAAAACTAATATTCAATGTTCAATCTATTATCAACCATTTATATTTTTAATAAATATACAAAACCTACCATACTCTACATACCAACGACAAACCATGCAATATCTTTGTTGATCCTCATCCTCTTCATGGCCTATTGCAAATGCACCTTTAACAAAATGACGTGGGTCTTCACATTGGAATGTGATGTTATTCGTTATAAGTCTATGAACAACATCAACAGCCCGCAACAACTCTTTGGCACTATCAACAACACCCGTGTACTCCCCATTATCCGGAACTGCCCAGCCAAAATAGGCATCAAGTAATTGTAAACCTACACATTAAAATATCCATAAATTAATCCAATGTATCCTTTTCAATAAAACAGTAAATATTATACAACACAACACAACTAAATACTAACCCCAAACTACAAACATGCCTTAATTAACTATATATATAATTTAATTTACATATATATACCATATATACATACCTTCATCACATTGATGACGCCCTCTTGAAATGTGGATCAGTCCAAGCAAATAAATTGCCTCAATATCATCTTCATCTGCTGCTTGTCTCAACAAAGTCAATCCTAAATAAAAATTGCCATAATAAAAGCACTCATCCTGTTGACAGAGTAACAATATCAATATATAACATCAATGACACTAAATATTAATAAATGGTATAGATTACATATAATTACTGAAACTACACATACAATTCCTTGTCTGTACGTGGCTTCAATGTTATTATACAATGCACATGTGCGTATAAATATATCAACTTTCAGATTTTTGGGACCCATTCCTTCAAACATGTCAATGCATGTTGTTCTATACACTTGAGGATCACCCCCGTCCCCCTCGCTTCATACATCTTCTTTGAACTTCAAAATTTTAAATACACAGTAAATAACAAATAAATAAAGTTGTATTTCATCAAATATACATTCATTAGTTGATGTTTATTGAGAATTACCAAAGTCTTGCAGACACGATGTCTTTCGCAGATTCTGACCCTAATACTACAAATATCCAACTCAAAATTCTAGTGGGAGATCATCTAACGAATGTCGACTTCTAGTATTCGACATTCTACTTACAAAATACACATTGGAGTAGTTGATTTCAATTTTTTTTAAATTATGTGTAAATATGAAAGAGAGTGTAACAAGGTATGGAAAAAAAACTTACTTTATGTTGATCTGGTCGAGAGGAGTACATGAGTCTCTATTATCGGAGAAAATCGTTTTTTGAGAACGATTATCCTTCGACGATTTGGGGTTTTAGTGTTTGTATGCAGATTTATCGTCCGGAAAAGTAGAAATGTTTTAAATGGTTGAAGAACTGGAACGCCGACGTGACGTCGGAGGTATGATGGCGCCTTAACAATTTATAGTGCAAAAAGACCAAATTGCCCCTGAAATCATTCCAAATATGTGAATACTAAGGGTATTTGTGTCAAAACACATTATTCAAATATTATAACCTTTTTATAGCTAGGTAACAGTGGACTTTTGATTGTTGAAATGAAAAAGACAAAAATAACATATATATCATAATCCATAATGTAATACATTTAAATTAACATTTCACCAATTTACTAGTATATATTCGTGTATTAATATATATATATATATATATATATATATATATATATATATATATATATATATATATATATATTAAAAGTGGAACAAGTTTTTAACAGTAAACTTTTTTACTTTAGATTTTAGACACAATAGTTTTCTTTTGTTGCCACTTTTAGTCCCTATATTTATAGTAACTTTTTTTACTTTGATTTTAGCCACAATACTTTTTCCTTGTTGCCACTTTTAGTGCCTATGTTTATGCCTTTACAATTTTACCCCATGCAAAGCATGGGTTCTCCACTAGTTGATATTAAACCAAATTACCAAATCCAAAATAAAATACATGTATGTTTATGCCTTTACAATGTTTTATATGTATTTAATACTAGGAAAGAACAAACATTTGCTACATACACTTATAATCACAATACAATATAAACACTAATATTGAAAGTCCAAAACACATTATTCAAACATTATTTAAACATCATTCAAACGTCATTCCAAACTTTTACTCTTTATAGTCCCTTATTAACAACACAACATAATTACTAATCAAGTAACAACATCAAGTAATTACTTATCAAGTAAATTACTATATATTTGTATATTAAACCAAAAGAATGTACATATCATTAATTGTCATAATATGAAAGTACATATCAACAAACTACTCAAAAATTATACCAAACTCCTTAGAAAACCTAACAAAACAAGCACCCCACAAAAAAATTTCACACTTAAACACCCATTTGTATCC